ATGTTGTTTTCTTCCAGCCTTCTAGTTACAATTGAGATGCAGTCTTCAACAGGTAAGCATGTAAACAATGACTGCACATCAAAACTGACCATAGTTTCATTGTCTGCCAGATGTAGGTCTTTAATCTCGCTGACAAAATGGTAAGAATCCTTTATGTGTGCTCTTGTATGTCCCCTGAGTGGTGAGAGTATTTTCGCTAAGTGTTGAGCCAATCTGTAAGTTGGTGAATCGATTTGGCTCACTATGGGACGTAATGGAGCATTGGGCTTGTGTATTTTTGGTAACCCATACAATTTTGTTGATTTGGCGCACGTAGGTATTATCCATTTTACGTCCAGATTTAATTTTTCGGAGTGTTTCTTAAGAGGTCACTAGTTGTTTTTAGTGTGCTATTTGTTGGGTCGTTTTTAACCTTTTTTATAAGGACTTACATCCGACAAAAGTTCTTGTATTTTAGAATTATAATCTGACGTATCCATGACTACCGTGGCGTTTCCCTTATCTGCGCGGAGAATCGTAAGTTCGTGTTTATTGCGTAGGTTCTTTAACGCTATAAATTCGTCTTTGGGAAGATTCGGTTTAGGCACTGAACATCGACGTAACATAGACGAGATGTCTTGACGTATCGCCTCCAAATCTTCTTTCCGCATATTGTTTTTAAATAAACAGTCCTCGACACTACAAATAATTTCTTCGTACGGTAATTTGCGGGGTGTAATTGCAAAGTTGAGGCCTTTGGATAAAACCCTAATTGTTGCATCATCCAGTGTTTGTTATTTTTGATATTTAAACGGTGATTCTCACCACCATCCTTCACAGTTAGCTACCGTGGGTAAATCTTTGTTTCAGAGAGCACGAGGGATCTGTGACAGTAAACACCTGGCTGCAGAGCTCCACTATGTCAAGCAAGTTTTGCATGACAACAAGCTTCGAGTCCCGCGCCTACGTCACAGTGAACGAGTGAAGCCGGCCACAGTCGAGCGTGTACCTGCTGTACTGCCATATGTTAGAGGAGTCACTGACAAGATTGGCTACATCTTGAAGCGCGCTTCCATCAAAACATACTTCAAGCCGCTGAAGAAGATTGGTCAGTTTTTACCATCGGTCAAGTGTAATATCCCTCTGCAAGATGCAGGAGTGTATAAGCTTGATTGTGAATGTGGTCTCTCGTACATAGGACAAACTAAAAGATCAATAAAAACCCGCGTTAAAGAACATATAGCTGATGTGAAGAATCGACGCTCCGGGAAGTGCAGTCTGTGAACACGTACAGGATCGCCCCCGTCACTACATCAGATTTGATAGACTACATATCCTCGCTAAAGAACACCGATTCCTTCCAAGGATGATTCGCGAGGCTATTGAAATCAAAAAACATCCTAATTTCAATATAGAAGATGGCTGGGTGCTACCATCTGCTTGGGATCCTATAATAAATAAAATTAAATCCCAACCCAAGCATACAACTGCAAGACTTCAAGATACCATAAGTTCATACTGCATAAATCGGAACAAAAGTTAAATTTTAATCTATGGTAACCGCGGTTAACTATGACATATGGACGTTGAACTTCTCAGTCCTGCCCGTGACCATGAGTGCTGTAAAGCTTTCGAAACGTCGGGTAATTAAAAAGTTAAATACACGCGATAAATTCCGTAAAAACTAGTATTATTTCAAGAGTACTTCTTATCAAACATAGATGTATAAATGTGGATAGTTTTTTGAAATGTTTTGTTGTTCTGGTAATAAAACCTAATGTTTTGTATGACAGAAATAATGTGATCATAATGATTTCTGAAAGTAAGTTTTTCATCAAAGTAAACACCTTAGTCTATTGTAACTGAATTTCGCTTAAGAATTTGACCTTCAAGTATATAATCATGATTTATTTTTTTAAGTTTGTTGCTAAAAGAAATAATGAATCATTTTTATATGTAAGTACATACAGTTTTGTTTGCACCAGTCAGCAATTATGTTAGCATTATATTGCAAATCAATACAATCATTAAGGTCATTAATTTTCTTGAATATTTTGAGGTCATCTGCGTATAATAGACAAGGACAAGTTAGTTTTGGGATTAGGTCCTTTATAAAAATAAGAAAAATAAAGGGCCCAGATGAGATCCTTGTGGAATACCTGATTTAATGATGACGGCAGTCTACTTATACCCATTTACAGTAACTAATTGGCTACGGTTTTCTAAAGAAGAGTGTATCCATCGGAATAAATTACCATGGATGCCGTACTGCTTGAGTTTCTGAGAAAGCAATGCATAATTCACTCTCTCAAAAGCCTTACAAGAACCAGTATATATTGTGTCAACTTGAGTACTTACTGCGAAGGCTGAACTAAGATATTATGCTTTACATTCCAACAGATTTGATATTGTGGATTTTCCCTTGACAAAATCATGCTGTTGCTCAAAAAGAGCTGGTTGTATATGATAATAAATTCGATCATAAATTACAGATTCAAACACTTTCGCGATACAAGAAAGAATACTGATCGGTCTATAGTTTTCGCATAACGAATAATCACCTGATTTGTGTACTGGAACAATATGTGCAAGGTTCCACGCTGATGGAAACGACCACGCTCTTTTAGACTTGTTAAAGAGAATTGTCAAGGGTAGGCTTAGTTCAGTAGCACATTTTTTTGAGGAATGTAGGTGATATTTGGTCTGGTCCTGCCCCTTTTATTAAGATTAAGCCTCTTTAGCCACTCAGCCGGCAGCTCTCATTTTCTAACCGCAGGCTCTAAAGGGCCTTAATGTGTAATGAGACCCAAATTAATTGAAGCTGTTGAACGTTATGAAGTAGGATTATTTTTAGCTTATTTTGTTTTACTTTTGTAACTTTTTAACTACTATTTTGTTTAAACAAACTATACATTTTTGCCATATCATTGCCCGCTTTAAATGTTTCAAATAATGCAACAAAGCAAATATAGCGAAAATGGAAAAGAAACAGAAATGTCTGCATAAGGTCAGTGTTACCTTTGTACACCTTGTAATCACCTATTGTTATCACGGTTAACGGTAGCATTTCTCGGTAATTGATGTAAGGTTTACCTTCTTCCGACATTTTCTTCAGATATAAGCCATTTGTCACTATCAACACTCTTTACTCCTTCCAAAACTTTAACTTTTTGTTTGAAAATTTGATGAGATTTTTTTATACAGTCATATATAAATGAATGCAATTGATGATGTTTCCCAGATCGAGGTTCCACTGGAAGCGAAACTTAGTGTAGAATATGTTAAGTGCCACAAGTAATACTACAGCCAAAAGATTTGGTCGAAAGCTGTGTCAACGTGTAATCAGAAAACATTAAGACTCAGAGACCATTAATCTGTATTACTGCAAAAATGTATCTGCATGTATGAGAATCCAAGACCCATGACTCCGTAGTCAGGTAAATCTAACTAAGCCACCTCAGCTAATACAGAATTAATACCACAAAATCTTTTCTTACTGACCGGTCAGGGAACAATGTCTGATAATGTTAGCCTACAATCTGAATTGAACAATTTTTTATTTGTGGTAAATGTGTTGGTATTAAGTATAAAATTTATCGTTATTTAAAATAACAAGAACGAGTGTGAAAAAAAATAAAGGATAGCACGGTAAAACTAAGCGAGCGAACAAAAGGGCAAAATGTCTCATCTATCTATATCGTACATAAGCTGTTTAGAACATAGTCCATCTAGGGACATTAATTGGAAATCCTTCCCTTTGAAAGAAATATCCACGTAAAAAGTGGATCCATTGTGATTGATTGGGCAGCGTACTGGCACTAAAAAAACGAAATCGAGAGCCATGTTAACTTTTTAGCTGGAGTAACATTATCCAGTCCAAATAAAATTCAATTTGTGAAAGTTCTTACTGAATTATTTTCATTAAAATTATTATTTATACAATGTGTATATTCAATTGCGCTCAACTCTATCTCTCTAACTCTGGAAACTCTCCCTGTAGCGATGTAATAAAATTAGAGTTAAGCTGAAGAGCAGAGTCAGGTATTATCACAAAATCCCGGACTCGAAAACCACCGTTTGTGTTTGCACAAATTTGGCACTAGCTGGCATGAATGGCAGCAACCAGTTTTTAGTGCTCTGAAGGTAAATAGCCGGATCCACACCGGACGATCCGTGGACCTTGGATCGTTCTAGGTCGATCCAACAGCAATCTTTTGCGATCCTGACTGGCTGCTCTAACGCACTTCTGCCGATCCATACTGAATCAGAGGAATTTTGTCTGGGTATGGATTCACACGTGCAACGACGGCGACGAATAGCTGTAGCAGCAGCAAGCTACATTTTACTTGTATATTTACGGCAAAAATTACGAAAACGAAAAAGACAGTTTTGGGTTAAAACTATTTGTAAAAACCAATTGGAATATGGGACTCGACTTTACAAAGAGTTATTTGATGATGGAGCTGGAGATAATTTTGCACGAATGACTGCAAATCAATTTGACTTATTATGTTCACTATTGGAGAACAAAATAAGAAAGAATTATACATACTATCGTGATGGCATAACTGTTAAGAAAATACTACTAATAACATTGAGATTTTTATCAAGTGAAGATTCTTACGTCAGTCTACAGTATCTTTTCAGAGTGTCCAAACAGTCAATATCAAAAATTGTTTCTGAGGTTTGTGAAGCAATCATCGACATTTTGAAGAATTATGTAAAAGTAAGTGAAATTATATATTTAAAACATTAAACTCTTTATTGCAAACTTAGCTTACACTTAAGAATATATAAAAGTTACATATGTTAATTAAATTGGTGGTGATTGTGGTGACGGAGAAGGCTGCCAAGTTGTCGAAGTAGTAGAAGATGTTGAAGAAGCGGAGTCATTGTTGATTCTGAAGGTCGTTCTGTATATGATGAAGTTGAAGAATTATATCCATAATTTTCTGGTCTTTATCTGCCTGTGTCAGCTTCAAAATTAATTTGAGATATGGCATGTTTTACATAAGTTAACGTTATATGATCATATTTTCGTAGTGTCCAAAAGCGGTGTACGAATCTGACTCTGGTTGTTGTATTTGAGCACATTGATGAAGTAGTTGAAATGCTTCCGAAATGGATTCATCTGTTATCATAATATCTTCGGAACCATGTGAAGATGTTTTTTTTCTTCTTTTATTTTGATTCCTTTTTTTGGGTTTGAACATTGTGGGTGTTGGTTGGGTGTTTTGCACATTAGATTGGGCAGCTGGTTGTTCAGATGGTGCAGAAGGTTCAGTAGGTATACTCTGATCATTCATATCTTGCATTTGATTATTAACATTCTCAGTTGTGTGATTGTCTACGTTTTCTAGAGCATTTTCATTGATATCATGTTCTCCGCTACCAGTGGTGCTATGGTGCTATTACTTTTTTCCTGTAACAACAACAATAACAAAACATATTAATCATAGTTACACTTTTTTCAGATGCCATCAAATGAAGAAGAGTGGCTCGCAGTGTTTCAGGGATTCGACGAAAAATGGAATTTTCCACATGTATTAGGAGAAATGGATGGTAAACATGTCGTTTTGCAAGCGCCTTTTAGTAGTGGCAACGACTATGATAACTATAAATTGTTTCCAAGTATAGTTCTTTTTGCATTGCAAATTATAGGTTCCTTTATGTGAATGTTGGGAGTAAGGGCAAATTATCAGATGAAGGCGTGTTTAAAAGCACAAAGCTATATGAGAAACTTGAAAAAAAAAAGAGCTAAAAATCCCATCGTCAAAAATTTTGCAAGTCCCTTATAAAATTGAAGTGCCCTATTTTATACTTGGTGATAAAGCTTTCCAATTAAATGACTATATATTGAGACCGTATGAAGGTGATCCAGAAAGGGGTTCGAGTGAACGAATATTCAATTACAGATTATCAAGAGCAGTAGAAGAGTTGTAGAAAACGCGGTTGGAGTACTAAGCTCAAGTTACAGAGTTTTGCGTAAACCAATGCTGTTGGAGCCAGAAAAAGCAACTAAAGTCGTGCTAGCGACAGTTTACTTGTATAACTATTTACGAAGTAATTCTAATTTAAGATCACCGGTATCTTGATACAATACAGGGGAATGGAGAAATAGTTCCTGGAAGCTGGCGAACGGAACAGGCACCAACATCACTACTACCGATAGATGCCATACCACGAAGAGCATCACAAAATGCCAAAGATATTCGGTCCCACTTAGCAAGATACTTTATAACAAACGGGGCCATTGCAGGGGCAAAATGAGTACCAATAAACTTATATAAATTGTACTGTGTTTATATGTTTTATAAGTTAGCTGCATTAAGAGAAATATAATGTAGTTCAGTTCATTATACTTTACCCAATTAACTATGTATTTTATTTAAAACTATCCTTTCCCTAAGTTCTAGATTAGTATAATAAGAAATAAATTTTATTACATAAATACAAATATACTTTATTGACACCAAAACAAAACATTACCTACACAGATAACACAAAATAATACAAACAAATTTAAGCCAATAATTACCTATTATTATATTAGCACGTCTACTGCTATAACATTTACCTTTCCTTTAAGAATTATAATATTCTAATAAATTAATTATATTTTAATGGTTACCTGTAAGGTTTTTAATCAAAATAAAATTATAGGTTAAGTAAAAAATAACTCACCTGGAGTTGGAGTTGGAGTGTATCCCTTGTTGTCCCGGGGTCATTCTTATCCGCCATGAAAGCAAACTCATCGTAAGCAAACCATTTTGATTTGTAAGTATCTTCAGCACCTAAAATAAACAATAAATTATAACCGGTAAATATCAATGTCCGTGAAGTCATTCCCCTACCCAAAACTTTTAAACATTTAAGTATATCTTTTTATCACAAACTAAGTTACGTTACTACGTTGTGGTGGTTTAAACAATACATTTTATTATTATTACTAATAAATTAAAATTAAAGCTTCACTAAGAGTGACAGGTTATGTACTGAACTATAATTATAAAACAAAAGGAAGTAGGAACTATAATTTCTTACCTGATCCGGTAATACGACTCTGTTTTTCCCTGAATCGTTCTCTTCTGTAGCCACCCGACAAAGACTTCATTTTTTTCTTTAGTTCTGTTGTTGGAATATTGTTCATTTGCCGACTAATTTTCCGCCAGGCATCTTCTCGTACACCTCTATTTGTGTAATTGGTATCAGTAGGATCCCATAAACATTTATTCTCCCTATATAGGGAAATTAAACGGATACATTGCGAATTATGTATAACGGCGGATCACGCGATTCTCACAACCGTCCAGACCGCTCGCGCCAAGCGACTGAGGTCTGAGGCCCCTTTGTGCGTGACCAAAAAACCGACAACAAATGGATCGCACGCGGTGAGGAGCGCGCGCTCTCCGCCGCGCACATGGATCGCGCGCGGCGCGGATCGGATCGTCCGGTGTGGATCCGGCTAATAGTTACTGCAGTCCATCAACAACTGCGACAGACTTTAAACAAAGAAGGTTACAGTACGTTGTCACTACTTCTTTAAAAAAACGTTACGTCCACACCAGGAATTCCTCTTGTATCGGGGCAGTTCACATAGATAAATTTCACAAGACCTACTTCACAAGACCTAGAAATACTTGTTTCGTGCAGGATTTGAACCCGTGGCCCTCAACGCTGCAACTTTCTGCTAGGCCATTGCGCCAGAGAGCCGTTAACCTTTGAGGACTAAGACGGAATGTTTCATAGCCTATAGTTATTTTTAGTTTATTATATTTTTTGTTTATTTATAGTTTTTTGCAATTTATTTACTTATATAATTATGTTTTTTTAGTTTATTTATACTTTTTTGCAATGCCCTTCAGACGGAACGGAGCAGCGCGGGCACTTCTATTATTATTATAATTATCATTATCATTATAAATAAAAAAAAGTTTGAAGAAATTTAATTTCACAATTTATTTTACCTTACTTACTCAAACCGTCATCACTCCAATTGTTAAGTTCGTTAAGTTTTACATCGTTTTCCTGCAATGCTACTTGTATTGACAGAAGTTAACCATTACAGTTTGATGATGAATTCAATGATTCCTGTGGGTGATGATAAAGTATATCACAAAACAAAAGTACATTTTTTAATACTGGAAGATATCCATAAAACATAATGGAGCTTCGATGCTAAAACCACCTACGCAGCACACAGTTTCGGTCGATGAGTTATTTCTCATAGCAGAGTCGGCCCACAGGGTCGATAAATCAGAAACTGTCCAATTTAATCATGGCCTGCCTAACTTCCCAAAGTTCTTTGACACGTTGGCTTTAGGGGAGAATTCGTATGTATTGTCAGAAGCCAATTTATACTGGTCTTTAATAATTCAGAGACGGAGCAATTTGCTTACAGGAGCCGGTAATAGACTAAGCTGCTACAAACTAGTACGTATAGGTAACATAATATTACGGCGTTAACATTTCATTTAAAATTGTGTTTTTTCACCGATGCTTTCTATTAAAGAAACATGTGTCACAATTCCATATTACCATATAAGTGTATATATTTAGGATTTTAGGTCATCATTAACTTTACGGGAACCTCGACACTTTTCTATTGCTTACTGTTGTCAGTGATAATACCCGCAATTTTTATGTGAGTTGTATTACAATAATAGAATAAAAAATATTTATTCGAAAGACATGATCAAAAGAATATTGAATTTAATAAACATAAATTTCATAATTTTACGGCAAAGGCTGCGTGATGATTTCGTAAGTGAATGCAACACCGCATTTCTTCCCTTACGTGTCGTAAGAGGTGACTAAGAGATATGCCAGAAATATTATATGGCCTCCGATATATAAGCATAAGTATCATAGTGCATATGTTATCACCTTGAGGACTAAGATGTAATTCCTCGTTAACAGTTAAAAGATTTACGGTTCTATACACTCAACATACGAAAGAGCCCCTGCGTTTGGTTAGAAGCTGTGTATACGCTGTTATCGTTTGATAACTTGGCCCTTTTTCGGTCAAATCGCCTCGTTATATTGCAGACTATTCAGTCGCAGCATGGCTCGTCTGGTAATGGAATAGTAGAATGACGATTCAGAAAAATTCTTGTGAAAGATGCAATTGATTTTTACGGGCTAATGATAAAGAAGGGAAAGAACTTAACGAAACCATAAAAATAAATATAGAAGAAAATGAGTATACATTGAAGGTCATAGTTTTACTAAGGATAAATCATTGCCAAACACTCAAAATAAAATTGTAGAATTAAAAAAAATTTAATCCTTGGTTACTTATCTGCGTATTTATATGATATTTACATGGGTCTACTGTAAGAATATATTCATATAAAAAGAAAATAAAAAGTTCAAACAAAATGGGAATATATATGACGCAGGCAACTAGCTTAACTTATGTCTTTAAGTTAACAGCTTAGCCTTTTTACTAAATGGCGCAGTTCAACCGTGGCCAAAATGATATTCAGCCGATACGTCTAATTACTGCACATATCTTGTAATATCAACGACAGAAGGTTAATGTGCGGCTTGGGCGGCCCAAGGGCCACCTTCAATCCGCGTACAATTATATAATATAAGCTCATAGCGCATAATTAGGCATAGACTTGCGAATGTCTCGTTTAATGAAATTAATAGGGTGAACGTGCCATGTAATGTCTAGGTTGTTAACTGAAAGACTAATTAAGGCAGTTGCCTGCGACATATACATAATTTTTGAAGTTGGTAAGAGCAGGTTTACAATAATCCCCAACGAGTGGGCTCCAGCCATGTTATCCCGAGGGGTGTCCTTTACCACTATGGAGAGAACACCCCTCAGCCTGCCGCAGTCGAAGTGGAGTCTTTGAGAAGTCTTTGTCCTTGCTTAAACTTCGTGACTTTGGCAGTACTGCACCGCTGTTACGTTGGTGGTGGGTCTGTGAGGGTACAGGAGCGTAGTGATTGCGATACGCTGCTACTAGCATAGACCAGTTTTGGCTTTTGGGGCTGCAATATCTAGTCATTCCTCGTACTTGTATTCAAATCTTATAAACTCCGACTAAACGGCTATGAGGATCCGTTGCGCAGGTGGAGTCGATAGGCGAAGGTGCGCTTTGCTTGGAAGGAATATGAAGAGGAGTTATTCTCCCTCGAAATGCGGCTATCAAGGAACGGTCAGCACTGGCACGACCACTTATTTCTGCGTTTACACCATGTTATTTTAGATTTTAGACCGTTCGACGTCGATGTAAATAGCCCCTGCCCTATAAAAGATATTAACAATAATGATGTATAAAAATACTAGTAAATATTTAAA